CTTTCCAGCTTAGTGTAAAGAAAACGTTAAGATAACGTAAATAAATGAATTTTTCGTTTACATGTGCAATTTTAAAACATTTCACACTTGTAAAACATTTTACTCACACTTTACTAAAACGTAAATATCAATAAAAGAAACTAAAACAATAATAACAGCAAAGATGAATGATTAAACAATTAAAAATATCAATAAGGTATCAAATTTTTAACTAGTTTTTTTTTTATTCAGTAACGATTTGTAAATGCCTATAATAATCATAAAAGTGCAATAAAACATAATTGATTATATGGTGATAATAATATATGAAACTCTTATCGTAATGAAAATAATTTTGGAAAAAAATGCATAGTTTCAGACTTTTTATATATATTTATAATCTTTCTGATTATAATTATCAATAACATAAAATACTCTGATACTAAAATAATGTGCTGCATTAACGTGAAAAACTTTATTGAATAAAATAATGATCGGTATTAACTTTTACGAATAAATGAAAGGAAGAGATTAAAAAAATCTTGAAATATGTGTGTGAGAAACAATAAGAATATAAACAACGCACTTATCAATAAATACTAATAAATAAAAAAAAACTAATGCAATCTTCTTTAGTTTCTAAATTTTAGCTTTAATTTATGCCATAAAAATTAAATGCCTATCTCCTAAGTATCAAGGAATTACAATTTATTGTGCATCTAAAAATTGAAATGTTTTTTAACACAATAGAATTGTTTTGCTAGATTTGAAAAAAATGTTTTTGATTATGGAATAAGAAGGGTAGTGTAAATTTTGATTATTCAGAATCCGATATATTGTCAGCACGAAATTTCGATACACGAGTTTCTGGTTAAATTTATTTCCATCGTAACTTTTGTACGTTGTCAAATATATGTATATAGGTACTGCTTAGTCATAAATCAGGCAAAACGATATTTTTACCGCCTTTTAAAGGACAATTTAAATAATAATATTCATTAATCATAAGATTTTGAGAATAAATATTTTTCACTAAAAAAATAATGACTTTACTTCATTCGAAAAAATATTTACAGTGGTATTCAAGGTAGTTAACAAATTTATTTAGGATTATGAATTATAATTGAATTGCTATTAGAGAAAATAGTCAAATAGTTATAAAAATGAGAGGCACCGAAAAAGAATTGTACAGCGCTATTTTTTACCCTCATTTTTAGAAGAATTACATCAGAATATGCGTTAGATATATGACAAACTTTTATCAATACTGTACTTTTTTCGTCAGCAGAAACGCTTAATATTCTCAATAAATGTTAATTTTTTAAAATTTCTTCTCATGTTTTGGAATACAAAACAAATATTTTTCAGTGCATGTTTTAACATTTTTATGCATAAAATAAATGTGTTATTTTTTATTACTTATGTTTTCGTAAATTAATTCATCTTATGCAGCACGGTCAATTTTCCACAATGAGACAGACCTTTATTTTTCTGTAAATGTCAACGTATAAGAGTTAGAGAAAGTGAGAATTCAGATAATCATCCAGAGAATTCTGAATGCTTTGAAATACTCAATGTGTTCAGTTTGAAATATTTAGAGTGTGCAATTGAGTAGTACAACTGAGCAAATTTTGGTATTTATCAACGGAAATTTAAAAATAAATGACATTGAGAAAAATTTCAGGCGTATTTTTGGCATGCTCTTCTAACTTTTTGTTGTTACAGTTTTAAACTAGTTTTTCAAAAGTAAAACAAATTATGTCATTATTACATGCAAATAATTTAATGAACGCAAATAAAATGGAATGTGAACTACTAATATATTTAAAACTTCCATGAGTTTAATATTTCAAATATCATAAGCCCATTTCATTATAAATTATATTCCATAGAAGTAAATATTAGGGATCAAATATTCAACATCTAATCTGTTAAGACAAATAGCTCGTCTAAAAAAAAATATTAATTTATTTTGGTTAGATAAGAAGCTAATAGGGGTCTTGCTTACAAATATAACACCAACATAATTGCGAGATATATAAAATTCAAATGACATATGCATAACATTCAAATAGACACATTTATTCTAATTCCCTCTACAGTGCTCAAAGAACGCCGCATAATTCGCAGGAGGTGATAATGTGTTTGAACATCAAAATGCGCTTTTGTATTATCATGCTGATTATCGTCTTACCAAAGGTGGTCTATTCAGGGCAAACATCAAAAAGACATGTACAACAAGAGGGTGACCAGTATAAAGCAAGGAATGCAAATTATACCTCTTTTTACTTCCCAAATCCACAATTTCTATTCGAATAACACAGGATAAAAAATTTGGAACTGTGCCCGCTAAGTGGCGTCCGAAAAGAATATTAGTGGGATTTTAAAGCTTATATTTAACATGAGTATGATGATACATAATGACTAGAGAGGAATGTTTGTTTTATTTTTAACCAAATACTGATGTTGAAGCTCTTTAATTAAAAATTTATACAGTGTACTCAAAAATAAAATAACAGAAGAGAAAAATATAATCTTATCACAGAGACTTTAATTGATAATATTCAGATGAGATTGTGAACACTTCAAGATTAGAGTGGGATTTACAATTTTTTTTTAAAAATATTGCCATATCTACATTTTAACGATAAGTCGCTATGCAATAAGTCGCTAAAAGTAAGGTAAATCCAGGTATCTTGGTTTAGGCTTAAATTTTATATTATTAAATTTATTGTTTTAACAACATTAAACAAGTTATTATAAAAATAAATTAAATCAATATGATTCTAAAAAAAATTCTTGTTTATTTTAGGAAGTTCTTATTTATTCAGAAAATATTTTTTCAGCGTTTAAATGTCGAAAATAAACCAAAACTTGATATAAAATAAGATAATAACAATAAATTAATAAAAAAGAACCCATTTATATTGAATACCCACAAATTGTATTGAGATACTGCGTAGAATTTAAAATGAGAAAACAATTCTTCATTGAAATGAACCAAAAAAACAAGTTACTTGATTTTATCAAACTTTTCTATAAACCTTTATAAACTTTTCAACATTTCAATAAATTTCTACTTTTTGAACATTAATACATTTGAGTTTCAAAACTAAACTTTATCTGAATCACACAAATACTTGGAATTTATTATTAACTCATAATTACGTGTATCAGTTCACATCCTTTCATCAGCTTTATACTATAATTTTTAATTTGAAGTATTTTTTTTTATATTTTAAATAAACTTGAGAAATTCTCTCAGTTTTGGTAACTAAGATTACAAAATTAAAGTTATGTGAGGGATATTATCTTACAGTGTTTGTAAATTAAACTTAAATGTAGTGAACTAAAATATATTTTACAAACGTGCGAACTTTAAAAAACACACAACACTTTTATTTTACGAATTTTCGTTGTTATTGTTTATATTTATATGATTTAAACCCATTCTAGATTTAATAAAAATATCACTAACCACGTAAAATAGATTAGTAAGTGTATATACATAATAATTTTGAATGAATTGTTGGAATTTAGAGTTGATTTTGATTGTTGTTGCACATATAGGCATTAGGTGATAATAATTACAAGGTATGGCACTCTTAACTCTTTTAAATAAAAAAAAACTTTTAATTAAAAAATCTTAGTTCTGTTGGAAGCGTTGTCAGTAGTTTTTGGAAAATAATTTTAATGTGTAAAGTTTCACATATGTATTTACGTACAAAAAGTAAAATCTCCGTATCTTTACAAAATTAAAATATAATTTGTCTTTTTTATGTTTAAATAATAAGAAAATTGTGCTCTAACAAATAAGATAGCATTAACACCTATCAATAACATAAAACGTAACATCTTCATTGATTTGCTGTTTTTTTCAATTGCAAAAAATATTCCTAACTTTAAGAATAACTAAAAACCGAACTAAAAAACCGAAAATGCATAACCGGAAGTTAGAATATGTGTTTCAATTTTTTGTGCAATTTTTTGTAGTAATATATATGTTGCGTTTAATGCTTAAAATGTTTAACAGAAATTGAGTAAAAAAAGGTGTTTTATAAACAACACAATTCTTTCTTTAGTATACTTATTTAGCAATAACAATTTTGTTTAATTTAGAAGAGAAACACAGAATATAAGTTTATTAACTGTAAATTCTTTATCTATTATTATAATGACTAAATTTTCAGTAATTTATAAAGACAATTTCTATCCCTAAACAAGTAGTACTTGCAGCATTTTAGAATAAGAGTTTGCTAGATCGTTTATTACATTATTAGTTAATGTATTGATTTGTTTTTTTTTAACAATATTTTTCAGTTATTGTAATTTTGTGAACATAATTTTGAGATAAATAAAGTTTAACAGCCATCTCTGGTACTGGATCGAAATATGTGTCTTAGTGAAATGAAATGTGAGGTGCAAATCATTAAAAATTATTTTGTTTTCGAGCAAAATTATTTTAAATGTCTCGATTATAAATTTTTAATGCATATTCATTGTTTTTATAAAGCTTCACATTTTGGAAAAACAAATAAAAATATTAAGTTAAATGTTTCGAAAATTTAACTTGAAACTTAAAATGAATTAAAAAATTTAATTTAATATTTTTATTTTACAAATGAAAACATTAAGTTAAATTTGTAATTAAATTAAAGTGTTTATTAACTGAAAATACGAATAAATGTAAACTGTATATACGTCTAAAATTAAATGTAAAAACATTTTAAAATTGGTGTCATTGAAACAAATGAAAGCGAAAATTAGATTTCACCACATTTTGAGCACCTAAAATAATGACTAAATCTTTTCAATAGATGAGCACCAAAAGGAATGACCAAACGTCTGGTGCGACTGATATGAAGGAGTGGTTTTTCCATATATGTTTTAGTAGCAATCATTTTATTGTTCATGTATTGGCTGTGAAAAAACTTAAATACACTTCCAAATAAATATGCAAAATTATGCAACACTGCACTATTAATTAATGCCATCTGAAAAAAAATCGTTCTCGTATTTTGTTAAATATTTGGCATTTGAAGTAAAATTATCAAACGATGTTTTTTAGGGCTATGTCGAGCAAAATTATCAACAAAAAAAAACAACATATTAGCTGCAATTTGGAAACATTGTAAAACAAAAATATAACTTTTATTAAAGTTTAAGCAAGCAACGAAACATTTTGAAAAATAATTTATATTTTTGATGCAGAAGATTAAGAAAAAAAAAGAATCGAATTTCTTCTCACATCATTAAACGGTTAATCATAAAACTAAAATTAGAAAGAATTAAGAAAGAAATTTGCGGAAGTACTGACACGGGCTTACTTCTCATCCTGACTTATTTTTCTGTAAAACCTTGCAAGTTAATTTATGTACATATATAAAGCATTTAAGAAATATACAGTATAAATAACCAATTTTCTGAATATCACAGAATAAATTTTTCTTTGGATACAAAATCAATTTGTACAAGCCGTCTTATGATAGTGAAATTTTTTTTTCTATATCTAGTGCTTTACTCAGATTTAGGAAACCTGAATACACACAGAACATTGAGCTGCAGTGATGAAACATGAAATACAACAAAGAACATGAAATAGATATTTCACAAAACCAAGAATAACGAAAGTGTTTCAGGAAAAAAAAAAACTATATGTACCATTTACACTTTCGTAACACAGTGACATCTGCTTTTTCTACCTCAGTTTTCTACCGTTCTAATTTGGCAACACTTTTACATTTAAAATCAAAATCAATAATAATGTTAAAAAAATTGATGAATCTGTTTTGCAATAACTAATTTGGGATGTTTTTGCGAATTACAATCATTTTGCGTACATTTTTGAGGCTGGGTGTTGCACACTTTATAAGTTGAGACATAAAATGAAAGGATAGAAGAAAGATATTGGGGTAAATGTCATTCTCTTTCAAGGATATTGACACATTGCGTTTGAAAAATATAACATAATAATTGTATTACATAAAAATTAATTAAACATTTTTAAATTTTGACCAATTATCGAGTAAGTCTGGCTTTTTTAATTAGTATTATCTTGATATCAAGTAAGAAATAAAAAGATTGCATAAACGTTATTTAAATTTAAAAAAAAAACAACGAGAAATAAATGAATTAAATTTAAAGCATGATTTAACTTATTATTGAATTAGTTTCCTCATGAGATTGTCACTAATGAATTTGATTTTTACGAGATTAGGATCCATGTACTAGATGTGTTATGAGATTATAATTAATGAACTAAACTTGCTATGTTATCATAATCAATGAGTTATGTTTGTTATAAATATTTTCAATTATGATCAATAGATATATTTCCTAAATTTTTAATAATTATTTGCATTAGATTACCATAAATAATTTAGGTTTGATATGATATTAAAATCCATAAAAGTGATTTACAATGAGAGTATTTTTACATGAAGTTGCCACAAATGCCATCGATCTGTTAAACATTATAATACACGTATTAGAGTTGCTGTGAAATTATGATTTGTGAATGAAACTTGCTATGTTATCATAATCAATGAGTCAGATTTGTTATAAGATTTTGCAATTATCATCAATGAATATATTTTCTAATTTTTTAATAATTATTCACGATGAGATTATCATGAATTATTTAGCTTTATATGATATTGATATTAATTAATGTGATTTGCAATGAGACTATCATCAATGAATTAAATTTGCTAATGAAATTGCATTAATAAATATATTTGTTTTGACGTCAAGCTGAATATAGATTTGTAATAAAATTGCTATTTTCAAATTGCAGCTCTGTGCGAAATTTCAAGTCCATTTGTCGTTTTTCGGTATTGTAACACATTGCACAATTTGAAGAAATTGTTGCATGATTTCACTCTTTGACGCATTAGGCGCATTCGACTGATTTAAACGTACACGTCTTGTTTATGACCAGTTGTTTCGTGAATTTAGGAAAACCCATAAATTTGCAGATGCCAAAAAGGGCTGAAAAAGTGGTCCTTTATAAAATTGAATAATCTATACCGAAAACAGGTAAGAGGGTACATATGCCGTTCATCAAGCAATCGGCAAACGAATGAACGCAATGATCATTTTATTCGAAAGATGGTTATACAATCTCTAACGATCTTCTGCGAGAATATTAAACATATTCTGGCTAAAAAAAAAAACCCTGACATCAGAAGGAGTATTATTTCAAGACGTTTAATCAAAGGTTTCGCTCTATTATAATACAAATCTGCTAAGAAATCTCACCGTAATTGTAATTTTTATAGGTGATCTCAAACTTTTGAATACAGTAGATTTTTAAACAAAGTTAGATTTTCATTTTTGACGAGAATATATAAATGATAAGCGATTTAGATGCAATTCGAAAAACCTAGTTAATCGACGACTGAACGAATTGTAAGAACAGCTTAGTTGGAGTTACTCAATACAATACATTAATAAAGTACATGCTCGTGCAATTAAGTGCAAAGTGAAGTTCATTCAAGTCTTATTTCAAAGATGATAAGTCATTAATAAAATTTCAAAAATATACATTTAGGGGAAAGTTTTAAATACCATTCGATTAGCAGAAAGTCGGAGCAATACTATTTCTCGTTTTAAGATGAAGGGTTTGAAATTAACATCCAAGCACAAACTGTTTAAAAGAAAGTATAATATGTGTCAACACCCATCCTTGGTTTTAGCTTATTTCAGAATAATTTAACTGATATAAGAGAGAATTTAAAAAGATAACAGCTGAAGCATTGGGCTAGACAAAGAGTTAAGAGGGTAAAAGGTTACCAAATATGAAGTTAGCTGAAAATATTTTCAAAGTAGGTAGAAAATGCTGATAAAATTGGAATATAAGTCCGTTCTTGACCATTGAATGTGGATGATCTTCATGTTTGTAACGATGGGAGAAACAACAAGACGAGATAGAGAGAGACGAATGAACATCGTCCCTGCCACATAACCGTCTAATCTTCAACAGAGTTCCAGTTAAGCAAGTCGTTGTCCAGCATTGCCTGAAATAATAGGTACAAAGTTATTCACATTTTTTTCGTGTTTTCAGAAGGCTATCATAAAAAAAAATACAAGAGATCATTTCATATACAGCAGAAATGAATCTTTCTTTCATTGAAATCGTTTAAAGATCATCCTAGTATTAAAATAAAGAAATAAATAAAAGAATAAGATTTTTTATTCATTTTTAAATAGTGTGCACAGTCGCAAATTATTTTCTCTCTTCACTTAGAAAGCATAAGGCCCCAGCTGTTTTGGGTGTTTTACTGTACATTACATTTAGTTTGCTGTGCAAAAAATAGGAAACTTAGAAATATTAGATTATAATGGCTGCTTAGAAACATATAAAAGGAGTGTGATGAAACATAAAAATGAGACGAAAATAACCCCAATGAACGACATAAGTATGCGATAATAACCTCAAAAATAACTATTAAATTTCTTGTAAAAAATACCATACGGGCCGCTCTGCAACCCAAAGATATAGATTAAAAGAAGAGATACTATTGAATTGAAATTTAGCGTGTTGAAAGGGCCATTTTTATTTGTGAATGTAACATGAGTTGATTTTAAAATTTCAATTTGTTCGAAAGCTAATCTAATTTTAAATAATCTTTTGCATGAATTTGTCTTTCACTTTTTTTAACTTTAAATAATGACTATTCATCCTGCCTGTAAGAAAATTTATATAACTCTCTCTAGGTCTTCTTATTACAGGTTCACAATTAAAGTCATGTCGAAAATGACAAAAAGGAAAGAGAGAGAGAGAGAGAGAGAGAGAGAGAGAGAGAGAGAGGGAAAAGGGGAGGGAATGAGAAAGACACATTAGGAAGCCAGAAATAAATTTGATCATTTGTATTAATATTTAAAAAGCAAGCATAAAGAAGTTCATTTAAGACAAGTAAATGCCGTTTACAATTCGAGTTATATTAATACATCATTATCTTTGTTTATTGTTAAAATAACTTTATATTTCTTTCTCCTCATTGTGCCATACACTAAGTATTCCCTAAGTATATATTTTTTATCAAATATAATTGATTATTTTACAAATCAAAGAAAATTGTTATTTCTGTATGATTAACATAATAATGATATTCTTTTGCTTATTTTACACCTTTATTCCGAAATAATAAGAATTATATTCTTTTTTAGGAAAATAAAATTTTTAAAAGAGAAGAATAATAAAAAGCAAGGATGGAAGCTGATGAGCACAGTGATCAGGGAGTGAAACATCCTGGTTTTTTTTTTTTGATGTTTAAATTTCATGCTCTTGAATGTAATAGGAGTTTGCAAATTTTTAAATGTTTCTCAAAATATTTACTTTCATGCTGCGATCCCGAAGACCTCGATAAATTCTTGAACGTTATTCTGTTTTCAGGAAGGTTACTACGATTAAGAACTTTCTTTTACTGCCTGTATAGATTTGATGAATTTAAAGATAAAATTTTGAGTCATTTTTTTCGATCAGTCTGTAGCCATTTCGTCAAAATTTTTATTATTTTTCAAAAAATATTTGTTTGTCCCATAGAAAATATACATTAAATGGATAAAAACTAAACCGCAGGAATTAGTTAAAAATAATCTAGAAAATTTTTACGATTTAAAAATATTTAATACGAGTTTTCTTAATCTCTTCATTACTTTAGTCCACAAATGTTGACCTTCGCTTCTTAGTTTCTGAAAACCAGCTATAAGAAAATTTTTATATTTTTTCGCTCCCTAAAACATTCGCGGACGCTTAAGCTTTCTGAGGATTTCAATAGAAGCAGAACATGTAAGTAAGTTTTGTAGAATTCCACATGAATAGAAGTGATTTTCGAAAAATGATGCTAAATCCGTGAGCTCAAAAAAAATTAAGTAGTTTCAGATAATTTAGTAATTCGGTTTGACTTAGAAGTTTTGAGATCTACATGAAACTTTTAAATTTATATTTGCTTAATTTTTAAAAATAATACAGTCAAGAACATGAAGGTCCACGTATGTGTACCGTGGTGTGTAAGGCGAAATTTATGACAGTGTAGTAGTCAAGTGAAATCTCATGGTATAATGAGTATTTAATTTTATAGCCATTTAGTAGTATTTTTATGTGTATTTTAATTTATTGTTTTATATTAAGGTGCATATTCACATAATTAATAACTTAAACTTATTGTGTTTTTTTCCTCCATAACTTTGAAATATTACTCCCAATAATTAAATATTTTTTCATAGTTAATGCTAGATTTGTTTCAATAATTATTTACTTTGTAAAACCTTTAATTTTCCTCTCAATTTTCAACCTTTAATTTTTAATCTCAAACCTTTAATTTTCCTCTCTTTGATTAACCTTTCAAATAACTATGCAGTGTCGCATTGTGCTCTTTCATAAAAATTAAAAATCTTCTGAATAATTATGAAATCTACTAATTACTGTATCTAAATAGACCATTACATAACAATATGCATGTATGGTCTTACTTTAGGTTCAATTTAAAATATTTATATTCTTTTACTTAGTTAAAACATGAGGTTCATGTATGTATACCTAAAACTATCTGACCCCTGGCAGTATAATTCATAATTTGATTATCTTCTTATGACTTATGGCAATAAAATAAAAAATAGAAACTGTAAAAATTATCTTTGTTATATTATTTTATATTTTAGTGAAGAGGTTAAGTAAAGAATTGACGTGCGCTTACTCCATGGATATTATGTAAGGTAGTTAGAAATATGGAAAACAAGGGTAAATTAAGTATAAAGGTATATTTATTTATTATGTAGCGCATTAATTAACTTAGAAATCAAGTCCTTTTTTAACTATTACAATGATGTGTGTTTTTATACAAAGCTTCAAGAGGTGGGGTATAATATTGTACTTTGAACTTTAGCATCCAAATAGAGTCTCAGTGCTGCCATCTAGTGTGGCAGAAACAAGACGTCCAAATTAACATGGCCAACGGTATCTCACCCATTGTGGTGGTCCTGAAAGAGTGGATACCACTTCTGGAGAACGCACTAGGTCTGCTCATCGGGAAAACGGATTGTGCAGCTCATAGGAAATAAAAAATATTGTACTTTGAACCAATTTAAACTTTTCATTTTTTTTTAAGGAATGTAATGATTTAAATAATTTAGACAGAATGATGCAAGTATTTTAGAATTTCAAATAATTTCGAGAGAAATTTATAAAACTTTTATCCATTAATATCATCACATAATTTGTGTAAATTTAAGGTTTAATACTGATGCCGGTCTACAATCAACAAGCATACAATCTTTTGATCTTGTGAAGACCTTAAAAAATGACGCTTTTTTGCTTAAAACGTTGGTAATTTATATTATTGAGATTTGATTTTCAATATACATGACCTTATTTCGATTTTTTAATTTTAGTAATAAAGGGTTATGTTTTCCAATTATATTAGTTATAAGTTTACTCAACATTTAAAATATATAAAAAAGAACATCCTTGGAAAACCTGAAAAGGACAAAAAGATACCAAATAGTGCCTGTTAGTACTAGTGTCAAATACATTTTACAGAATGCAGAATTCCTCCACTAGGTAGCGCAACTACAGCTTCGAGGTACTTGCTGCCCAAAATACAGAATAAAGAAAATATAATCTCGACTTAGAAAAGAAATGCATTACACTTAGAAAATAGAAACATCTCCTGAGAAATATTTGTTATTTGTTCCGATAATGTCATAAACAGTTGAATCTAATAATAATTGTATTAATGCTATCGATATGGACGATAAACGAACCTAGATATTTTCATAACTTTGTGCTTTCTACAGCATCAGGTGATGACAAAAACATGCTGCCATTCTTTTCGAATTCTTTCGCCATTTTGTTACATTTCTCTTCATATTCCAGTCTTAACCTTTCTTGTGCCTTTAAAAGGAAGTAATACACAGAGTCAGAAAAATTGGAAATCTAAATTCAGTAAAAAAATTGTCTTTCAGAAAGTTAGAATCTCTTAATACACAAATAAAAGGACTGAAGCTTATAAATTTTTCATAAGCAAATAGCTATAACTAATGACTTCAATTAGATTATTTATTTTAATTAACGTTGATACGGGAATTCAATTGTCTATTTTCATTGTTCACTTAAAAAGATTTTTTTTTTAAAAAAAGTACACATTCTTAAAAAAAAAGAATATTCAGAATATTTTTCAGAATTAAAGACTCAGCGAGTGTAATTAATTAACTAATTTGAAGAATTTCTTTAATGTTAATTAACACTTTTAACTTTTACAGAAATTTATTTGAAAGTTAAAAAAATTTATGAAGTTGTTTTAAACAAATGACAATAAAAACGATGATAATGGTATTAATTATCTAATTCAATTTTCTAGAAACAAAGTAAAATTGGATATCAATTAGTAAGTAATATACATTTTGTTAAAAAAAATTTAAAAGAGCTTTGAATGTTTTGAAATTTTCAGTCATTCATTTGTAAATATTATTATTATTTATTTATTTTTTTGAATTTCTACTCAAAGAAGATATTCAAGTCTAATTTAAAGAATTAAAAATCTATACTCTGAAAACAAAGCAAGCGACTCTTTTAGTTTTATTCAAACATCTCAACAGTTAAAGAATTTAATAAAACATTGTTTTGCTTCAAAAGTAACACAATTAACTCTACTTTTAAAAGCATAAAGTTTAAAATAAATAATTTCCTTTGAAGGTAGTTCATTTGTTTGAAAATGAGGAACGTGTCAAAGAAGCTTTTATTACAAACTTCACTTAAAAATAATTAATTGATTTCCCACCTTTTAAAATATGAGATAGCTTTAATTTAAAAAATTAAGAAATAATAAAATAAGCTAATTATTATTTTGAAAAATGACTCACATTTTTTCTTTCATCTTCAAAAGTATTTTTGATGTTTGTGTGTTGCCTTGTCAATTCTCCTAATTTTTTCTCTAGCAGGGAGCTGAACTGTTAAAAAAATATTTTTAATCAGTGCAAAAGGTCAGATGAAAGATTAATCAATAAAAAATAATCAAAATGAAATTATGAGCGTAATATTCAGACATCTTTGCATTTGAAACTGATAATTGAAAGAAGTTTTAAGTGTGCAAGATATTTTTTAAAAATGCTGTTCTATCAAAAATAATTAAATCAAATGTATACTTGAGTTCAGATTTATTTCCTAGAAGAATGTAAGTGCATAGCATTAAAAAAACTTATACTTTTTCTTAAATTTCTCAAATTATAATTTATATATATATATATATATATATATATTTAGAAAATTATAATTTATTTGAGAAATTTAAGAAAAAGTATAAATTCCTTTAATGCTATGTACTTGCGCTTAAGCTGCTGGTGTATAGCATTCATAAAATAAGTTAAAAGCACAAAGCATACAAGGGAAAAAAATTAAGTTAAAAAAATATTACAAAAACAAAATATTATAAAATAAAATGCTTTTAAAAATATTAAAAAACTGAAAAAAAGGCCAGAAAACATAATAAGGAAAATATATAATCTCGTCTATTTTACACAGTTCACAAAATGGAGTGCCTTCTAATTACTGTTAATATAGTCAAAGTAAATTGTACGAATAAATTTTACTTTGGTTATATTAACGCAATATTAGTAAGCACTTTATTTTGCGGATATAATTATGTAATCACTCATTTAAATTTCTAATAAGACATAATTGTTTAAATATATGAGACTAAATTTATTGAGATTCTTTAAAAATGTTTGGAAGCGTTAATTTAATTATTAATGCATAGTTGACGATTCTTGTAAAACAAACATTATAATGAATATTCCATGATATCTTTAAAATGAATTTAATGAATTGTGATAATGAGTAAAGAATACATTCATTATGCTAGTCAAAATAGTACATACAAAGAAATAATGACATGTCTTAATTATTATATGTTACAATTTTCATTCTAAAATTGTGGTAAAATAACCGACAGCAGTCAGTCTTTCGAATTAACTTCAAACTTTGTGGAAAAGAACATGTTTTACCTTTACGGTTTTTAAATCACTTACAACTAATATGGTTAAAAACCGTAAATACAACACCAAACGGTTTTTTAACTATTGACAATTATCATGGTGTTAAAACCGTAAAAAAGAAATTTAACTGGACATTAAAGCTAGACATTTTGTTAAGTAATGGACATTGGAGTTAAGCTGTGGTTGAGTTGTGTTTTATCGAATAAACCGTGGAATATGGTTTAATTAGTTTATCTGGACCATGTTCTGTCAGTGACAGACAAGCCTTCTCGGCAATATTATGTACGAAGCTAAGTGGCTTCATTAGGGGAGCTTAGTTTGCGATAAAATTCTGGTTGTTTAACCGTATAAAGCGAAAGTAGTTCGTAAATGATTTTTCTCACAGGTAACAGTTTGAATATCATCCTCATGGTTATTTTACTGCTTTGTTTGAATATGGCAAAATAACAATGAAATAAATTGTTATTTAACCATTTTTTCCGAGAAATTTCTAACAGAATATACATATTTCACAAAAATTGAATAACAGCATTAAACATCAGTGTACTAGCTGTATATTACACTTATTTATATTTAAATAGTTAACATACCCTTTGTCGCTCCGCCACTGCTGTGTCAATAAGCTTTTGATTAAGTTCCCTTTTTATCCTGAAAGAATTAAATTCCATATTTTGACTCCTATGATCTGTATTAATTATTGAGAAACTACTTTTAAAAAAATATGAAACATGTTTTTTTTTTTTGCATTTTAGACATGTACAAATTTCAAATGAAATTAAAACATGCAATTTACTTATTTTGAAATTTTTCTTTTATGATTACAAAGAAGTCCCAAAAGTCATTTTTAATTTACGCTGTTATTCTTTCACTCGCTTTTTATTCTTATCTCTACTTATTTACTTATTCGTATTTATTCATTCATTCGCTATGAATTTATTGACGCTATGAATTCGCTATGAATTTATTATTTATTCTTCAATTTATTGACGTTATTTATTCGGTTAAATTTATAATTTTAATTGTAAAATCCGTTACTGATTTAAAATCAGATTGCTAACCAAATTTTACTAGCAAGTTAAGATCATTTAGCAAGAATCGTTTATTTTATTATTATTTTCACCTTTTATTATTTCCATTAATACATTATTTATCATAAAGTGGGTGTGGGCCTCTCACTTTTTACTCCAAAATCGTGAAATTTTGAACTCAACTTAGAGAAAATTATAAAGAAAGGGCTAATGTTCGCAGTGATTATTTTTATTGAGATTAATCATCGTTTTTGATCATTTGAGAGGGAAAAAAATTAAAATTTCCAAAAGTGAGGCTCACGAACAGTTATAAATCATGAATCGCTAACAACTAGTGATATTTTATTTCAACACTGTTGAAAGCATAACGCACGCTGTAAAAAATTCCAGATTGAATTACGTTATAAAGTACCGACACTTTGGATGCATCATCCATAAAATCAAGTTTCGTTATAAAATACTATACCGCGGTTTTCCCAGTAATATTTATTTAATTAGAGGGAGCCAATGATTTTTAATGTAATTATTACTGTAAAAATTACGTTATATCAGATTTTTGTAACGTAACATGATCCGGTAAAACTGGTTTTAACGATAAAAGGTCCCGACCTCCCGAGTGCCGGTATTTTTTATCGTAATTTTATATGGATTTTTTCTTACAATATTGTGCCAAGATTTAAGAAATAGTGGAAGAAGTTGAAACCTAAACTAGTAGTATTGGCATGAGTTTATGCATCTTTACTTCTCTTTTATAATAGTTAAATCATTGAAAATATTTAGAATACTGAATAGAATTCGAATAAAATATTGTCACATTTCTTATTGAATAATTTCAGTTGCATAGTACCGTTATTTCATAAATTACTTCACTCAAACAGCTTGTAAAAAATACTATTAATCGAGAAGAAACTTTAGAGAGTTAAAATCTTGATTTCAAGATTTCATTTTAGAACATTATATAAATACAACACACAAAGTATGTATTTACAGTATTGAAAGTTTTGATAAACTATCAGTTTGAAAACAGACAAACTAAAGTATTAAAATTTATCTTACTCTAGATTAATATGAACCGAAGTCCATATAGATTTTTTTTAAAAAAGTTTGTAAGTCACATATTTTTCAAATAATTGTGGTAATACTTGTTTTTCTAATATCATATTAGATCGATTGTTTGTTTTAATTCATTTTGTTTATTTTCAGAGTACACTATGAATTGATCTCCTAATTTGATCCAGAACTTTCTACGGTGTAGAATTTATTAATATAAAAATCCCGTTAATAAAACTGGAACAATATCATAATTTCTGTCACAGTGTGGATTTTCATGATCAATTTACTTTTCCAAGAAACTAATAAAACAAATATTGTTTTAAAGTTTATTACATTACCTTGACAGTTCATTTTTGTCTTTGTGTTTTTTGCTTAAATTCTTCATTTCTTCTTTTGTTTGTGCATCCAGCCTTTTCATGAGTTCGCTTACTTCTCTGGAGAAGAAAAGAAACAACAATTGCATTGGACCTTTTACCTTCAATTTAAATTCAAAGAAATGCATACTAGAATTACGCATAAAATTGTGATGAATATTCACTCCAATAGTTCTATTTTTTTCTCTAATACTAAGTCCCGAGAATTTAAAAGATATTTTCTCATGAAAGTCGTTGCAAAAACAAGTACAGGGGTCAATGGTGCATGCATTGCACCGAAGAGCCATTACATTATGACCACCCTCCATCTATAACAATGGGCTCGCCCAGATTTTCATGGTTTCTCGCCCAGGAACAATGTTTTCATGGGGCATATTAGGACCCATAATCCTCATAGAACAATCCCTGACGTCTGTAAGTTACTTGAACATAGTTGCAGACCAGGTTCATCCATTCATGGCGACAGTTTTTCCTGCGGGGGATGGTGTTTACCAACAGGATAATGCACCATGTCATAAGGGTCGAATCGTCGAGAAACATTCCAGTGACTTTCAAGTCATGTCTTGGCCCCCAAATTCACCTGACCTTGATCCAATAGAGCATTTGCGGTCCTACTTGGAAAACCAAATTCATGCTGCCACGCTACCCCCTCGCAATGCGATGGAATTGCAGGACCAGTTGGTGAGAGCTTGGTACCAGATACCTCAGACTACCTATCAGCACCTTGTAGAATCAATGCCACGGCGGGTGCTAGCAGTTTTGAGGGCTAAAAGTGGTCCTACATGTTATTAGCAGGGTGGTCATAATGTAATGGCTCTTCGGTGTATATGAGGAAACAAAATGCAGAACTAATCCTTCTTGTGTGCATTTTTTCCCCTATGAATGGATGTTTAAATTTAAGTAGACGTTAAAATTTACTTCAAATGATGATGAGTTTAAGGATTTTTTTAATTATAAGATTAATTAAGCATTGAATCATCTGATTCTTGTAATGTTTCAAAAGTTTAATGGTTATACTTTATTTTCCGAAAAAAGGAAAAACATTATTTTCATCATAGGAGGGAAATTTCCTTAGAACAGATAAACAGAAGTTATATGGTAGTTTTTATGTTAAAGTAAAGTTGTGCATTATCTGAAAGCAGTATGTAGTATATCTTAGCAAATAAATTTGCTATTTTATTGGATGTGAGCTAATTTGCAACAATACAAAATGACGTTACAAAAGATTCCTCGCAATTTTTTAAAAATCTTACTTCGTTTCATTTATCGTTTCATTTAAGAATAGTTAAACAAAGTAACAATAAAAAAATTTACTAACCTGTCATGCAAACTATGTAAGAGCTGCACTTGAGATGATTGAGATAGTTGCAATACTTTGTTCATGGCCGTGTACAACTGAAATGATTTACATTAAAAATAAAATATATTTACCATTAAATTGAAAAGAAAATAAATGACATCTTTAAATGTAAAATAGAAAAATATGCATTTTAAAGCTAGGTTCTGATTTAATGTGAAGTTTGCTTTGATATAATTAAATTTCAATAAAAAAATCTTTATTGGTAAAGGTGTAGAAAATTTTGCTCTGTTACATGTCGGTCCGAAGTACGTTATATAGTCACAGTTTTTACGACTATGCAGATTTATAAGTTTAAAAACAATATTCCAAACTATACAATTTCATTTATTAAAACTGGTACAGATATAAAGCCATACAAACGCTAAATAATTTAACTGTAACCTAAATAAGAGTTTTAGCAAAGTCAGAGCCATGATGCTTTTCTTAAATTTTTATTGTTTATTTTTCATGTTTATGCATGTAATCGAGTAAAATTAGAATTTTTCTTCGGAAAAAATTGATACCAGAAAACTCCTTTATTTTCCACTGAGCACTATCCCCGTTATTGAGGGAAATAGTGGTGATTTTGGGGAAAAATTGAATTTCATCAAGACAAGCACACTGTTGGAATTTTCATTCTAAAAATACGGAAAAACAACTTGCAGCAGTCTGTCCATCCAATTAACCGTAAAGTTAACGATAGAGAACATTTTTTACCCATACTGTTTCGAAACTATTTACAACTAGCATGGTTTAAAATCTGTATAAAATATAAAATTGGATCTAGGCTTTTCGTTAGGTAATGGGCATTGAAGTAAGGTTGTGTTTTATCAACTGAACCGTGAAATTTGGTTTAATTATTTATATAAATTTTTCATCAATAAAGATACGAGAAATACTAAACTTTTCGTGTTAAGCAGTTTTATGGTCCTGCCATCTATACGTGAAAGAGAGTATCGTACTACAAAATTGTATTAGAATAGTTCTAGGACACAAATTGGGGAAATTTGTGACCAGGACACTGAACACTGATCAGTGCAGGACACTGAAACCGTATTAGGTTAAACCCTATTAGGTGAAACCAAACGTTTTTTTCTATCAGTTAACAATTTGAATGCAATATTGCTTCCGCTTATTTGATATTTTTGTTTAAATATGGTAAAATAACAATTAAATTAAACAATTCTGTTATTATTTAACCATTTTTTCCAAGAAATTTCTAAATGTGCATGTGGAGCATTGCTTCGGTTTTTTCACGTTGAATTGAGGGAAACTAATCAGGAGACGAATGAACGCATAGTTAAGAAGTTATGCGAGTTTTATGTACCAAAATTCAAAATTTGTACTTTCACCTAATTACTCATCTAATCTATATAGCTGAACAAGAGAGGTATTCTTTTTTATGCATTTGTTTACGCTGGGTCGAATATAACTTTAAACGAGTCAATAGAATGAACAGTTCCAAAGTTGCGAACTGATGGTTATAAAAAAGTAGACAAAAACGAAACATCGATTACAGTATTTTCAGTTAATACCAATAGTAAACAAATCGAAGCTAACAATAATGTATCTTAATTAGCAACAATATTTAAATGAACAAGTTAGTTACGTAACTCCAAAAATGTTAAATGCTAGTGTTTTTTCTTATTTTTTATTTTAACATTTTTTTTTACATTCATTAAACTTAAATACAAGACAGGAACACACTAGAGATTTTGATAAAGTAATTCTAAATATTAAATCACAGAAAGGATTAACTGGCTCTTATTTGTTCAAGTAATTCTAAAAAGAGGACTTACTGGTTCCTGGTACTTGCAGTGAATTTCCATTTCTGAATATAAATGCTCTTTTGTTAAGGCCAACATATTTTGGGAAAAGTTTTTCCTCAGCTCGTCCAACTGAAAACATTAGGTTTGGAAAATATTTTATAAGTATCAACAAAAAAATTAGTTGTAGTAATTAGAGATATTACATTAGAAACTTAGGGAAGTATTTTGCTATAGCATATTATGTAATAATAGATAAATTATTATGTTTACTGCGTATAAAAGCAGTTTCAGTTCAAAAAATATATATCACAGTATAAATAAATATTTAATATACATCTTTAATATTTCCGCTATAAATGACCTTCTGTGAAGGTTAACATATTTATCCTCAGCTTCCTCAATTGAAATCCTTAGATTTAGAAAATAGCATCAACAAAAGCTAAGAATTTGTCTTAAAAAATTGCATTACAAGACAGCACCATACAGCGACATATTTTATCCTCAGCTCCCTCACTTGAAATCATTAGGTTAAAAAAAAGCACCAATTAAAGCTGAGCACTAGCCCTTCAAAATTGTAATACGAAACAGCATTATACAACGTCATATTTTATCCTCAGCTTCCTCCATTGAAATTCTTAGATTCCGAAAATAGCATCTACAAAAGCTGAGTGTTTGTTTTACAAAATTGTAATACGAGACAGCACCATACAGTGACATATTTTATCCTCAGCTCCTTCACTTTGAATCATTAGGTTCATAAAATAGCACTAACAAAAGCTGAGTGCTAGTCTTTCAAAGTTGTAGTATAAACCAGTATCATATACCGTCATATTTTATCCTCAGTTCCCTCCCTTGAAATCATTAGGCTCAGAAAATAGCTTCAACTAAAGATGAGTGTTTGTCTTACAGAGTTTTAATACGAAACAGCACTATGTATCGACATATTTTATTCTCAGCTCCCTCACCTAAAATCATTAGGCTCAGGAAATAGCATCAAGCAAAGATGAGTGTTTGTCTAACAGAGTTGTAATACGAAAAAGCACCATATATCGACACATTTTATCCTCAGCTCCCTCACTTAAAATCTTTAGGCTCAGAAAATAGTATCAACCGAAGATGAGTGTTTGTCTTACAGAGTTGTAATACGAAACAGTATCATACTGTTAGTTAGGTAGTATGAAATAGCAAAGCACTTAATTATAGACTAATTTTGACATTTCTGCTCTGACTGACTCTTAACTATTTCGGTGCAAAAAATATACTATTTCATTATTTGAAAAATGGTTCTAAAAGTTTAAACTACTTAATTTTGAGAAATTTATACTGTAAATTAATTCATTTTGATATTATTTATCACTTATTCTTATATATTTTTATTCGAAATGTTTTGGTAGAAATAAACACCATTCAGTTTTCTTAGGCAAATAAACTTGATTGACCATTTTAGTGGTTTTAATTCTAACTGCACTGTGATTAATAAAGTTAACTAGCTCTAGATTTCAATAACGTATTTTTTTTTTAATTTCCCCCCTTACGTAAGGGTGATAATTATTACGATTTTTAAAGTTTCTTAAATTAAATTATAAGGGTGGGGATAGCAGATTACGCGACATAGTAATAAATATTTTCTACAATAATACAATTATCATACAAAATGCAGGAATTTAAAAAGTGCGCACATAGACGTAAATACAATATACATAAATACGAAACAGAAATTCGTTAGGTCATTTGACTAGTTTTAAAAAATAAGTAATAAAATAAAGAAACTAACCTTGACTCGTTGTTCTGGTGAAATTATTTGACTATCTACTTCACCCACTCTTTTCGGTTGTCGTCTTGGGTTCCAACATCTAAGATGGAAAAAAAAAGAAGAAAAAAAATTTTTTTGTTACGAAGAATTTTCTTAACAAAAAAAAAAGAGTTACAAAGAGGAAAAAAAAATACATTTACATATTCTTTTAAAAGTTAATGACATAAATTGCGCAATGATAAATATAGGGTAAAGTTTTCTAATAGATAATGTTTCTCAAATTAAGTGTAGAACGCAAAATTTACTGTGGCGTACACTATTATTATACCTAATATAGATGTAACTGTTTTAAATTATTAAGGATGGGTCAAATTTGCAGACTTTTAAGGCATTGCAATGTCTTACAATTTTACAAGTCACAAAAATGATAACAAATTTGACACATCTGGTAAGGGTGTCTTAATATTGAAAAGGAATAAAAAAATATAAAATGCGTGAACCCTATTTGTTATAAAATGGATTAAAAAGGTGGAATAAAAAAAGTTCTTTAAAATTGAGCATGTATTCAAAATTGAAACAACATATTCTCATTTTTTAGCAAAGTGTATAGTTTGTGAGAAACGTGTGAGAGAGATGCTGTTGGCTGCCGGCAGGATTCAAACCAAGGACTTCCGAGTTTTTAGTAGGATGATCTACCTATCATAGTTTCATCCCCCAGTCCAAGAAGCTGCATATAGTTACTGACCCAAGAACACAATGACATACTATTTTCCAATTTCAATGGTACAAAGGGTTGTAATTAAGAAAATATGGCCTTGAAAGCTTAGTCAGGTGACTAGTAATTTTAATTTCACTTTTTTCTTATTTCACTTTATCTTAAATAATTAAGACAATGAACTGTATGTCATTAAGGCTACAAGTCTGCAAGGCTTCCTAACTCTCCCTAGGCTGAAAAATACAATACGCACAAAATAAAAAGACAATCTTGAATAACTTTTGATCTAATGAATGAATCTTCAAGCTCTAGGACTCAATCTTAATGGCTCGAGGGGGTGACCTCAAATATGCTAATTAATACGAGCATACTATATACTATATAATACTATATAGGGGCATATTATTTAAGAGCATAAGTTACGAAATCAGACACAAAAACACACATCCCCTGAATAAACACACCTTTTTTGACCAATTAGGATTTCTGATTCCCAAAATATAGGGGCTAGGCGGAATCTATGAAATATGGTCCCAACAGTTTGGTCAGGTGAAGGCTCCATGCTTTGGACCCCTTAATGTAAATTTTACTTTAACGTATTTCGCTATATCTCGAGAACTTTTCAAGTGAATTGAAAAATGCTTTGAACACAATTATAAAATGTATTTATCTAAAGATAACTCTATGAAAATATGTTTTAATAAATATTTATTATTTTTCATTATATATTATTCAATAATGGTAAGAAAAATGTTGAACTGTAAGGTATACAAAATTTAGCATCATTTTAAAGTACATAAGTTTACTTGTCAAAATATAAAATTTGAGCAAAACCAGTCGAATAGCTCATAACAAAACGAATAGCTCAAAATTTTTTTGCCAGAACTATTCAACCGATTTTGCACTAATTTTGTATTTTGCCATGTAAAATTATGTTCTTTAAAAAGATGCAAAAATTATACACTTTGCAATTCAACACTTTTTCAACCATTATTAAATAAAATAATAAAAAATAATGAAAATTTGCTAAATATTATTATTGTTTCATGGAATTATCTTTATATAAACGAATTTTATAATTGTGAGCAAAAGCTTTCTTCAATTCACTTAAAAAGTACTCGAGATATAGTGGAATGTGCAAAAAGTATGACTATCATTAAGGGGTTCAAACTTTAGAGCGCTCTCCTGACCCAACTATTGGGACTATATTTCCCAGAATCCTTATATTTTAGTGGTAAGAAATCCAAATTCATTGAAAAAAAGGTATGTTTATTAAGAGAAGGTACGTTATGTGTCTGATTTCGTAACTTAAAACATATCGTCCGCATTTATTAATTAGCATATTTGAGGTCACCCCCACGGGGCATTAAGATTGAGTCCTAGAACGTGAAGATCTGGTCATTAGATCAGAAAACATTCAGGGTGGTTCGTTTTTCATTTTTTTATTTTTTCATTATTTTTTTTGGCTCACTGCACAATCATGATGAATTGAACATCCTACTACCAACTCGGTGGTCATTGGTTCGAATCCGGCCGGCCGTCAATGATTATCACTCTCACACACTTCTTCATTTTTTAGACAATGCATTTTGCTCAAGAATATGCTGCTTCAATTTATATGCATGGTGTTTGAAAATTTTGATTATATTTATTTTTGACACATTTTTATTAAATTTTAAGAAACATTTTTTTACAGTGTATTCACTTGCATTTGACTAAAAATAAACCGCGTCAATGACTTACTTAAAAATTTATCAAAGAAATACATTTTTCTAACTGTCTTCTTCACAAAACCTTCACACACGTTTTTTTTTTTTTTTTTTTTTTTTTTTTAATACGCATGCCTTTTGGATTTAATAATTTTTTTTCTTTTTGGCTTTTCTTTTTTCGGGTGTACATATTAGAAAACTATAGTATAACAGGCGCATTTTCTGCATGTAGATATAAAATCACTTTTCGTTTAACGAAATGATTTCTGATTTAGTGAATCTTCATACAGAAGGTCGTATACAGCTCCCTTAATGGGAAGATGAGATTCACAAAAACAAGTATTTAAAGAAGTTTTCGATGGAGTTTTCAGGATTTTTTAAAATTTAAATTCGAGAAGGACTAATTCAAGAGGAAAATGCGATTTCAATAAAAAGTACGAAGAAATGACTTTAAACGCGACTTTTATGAAATGATGATTAAAATGTTGTAACGCTTGTCTTGTTTTGCTTCCATTAAGATGTAGATATTTTTTGCATGGTGCAACCTCAAATACTCTTTAAAATTATTAAAAAAAATTGAAACTGTGTTATAGAAATAACTAAACCCCTCAAAACAATAATAGTAAGTTTTATAAAATAAAATTAACTAAACTAAAATCGGTTCATTACCTTTTATTTCGCGCAGAAGTTCGCTTTCTACTATTTAAAGTTAATATAAGCTTAAAAAAGGAGGTTCGCAGAAGAGGACTTATTTTTAAAGCAAAATATTAATGCAATTAATATTAAATTACCATTAACATTTACATAATCTTTATAATGAAGGGCACTTCAAAGTCACGAAAGCGTGCACAAATGTTTAAGTAATAATTTTCGTATTAACTAATGAAAACAAGTTTTTTAAGCATTGAATTAAATTTATGCACATAAGTTTGTATTATAATTAGTTACTTCTATAGTTCTATTTTATTTAATCGAAGTGATGCTAAGGGATTCATAAAGTGATACTGTCAAATACAAATACAAACGGATTCACTTGCATTATGCTGGGAAAGTACATTTCTGGCGGTTAAATAATTGATTGGTTACGGTGCTTGATAAGCAGTACAGATGCAATTTTCATTAAAAAAGTACAGATACAAAATTTAGCAGTGGAGAAGAAGAAATTAAGTACTTCTTAATTATATAAGTTTTAGTTTATTAAAAATGTTTAAGTTCTAAAATAAATATTTACTTCAAAGTAAAATTTTTGGTAGTAATATTAATAATTAACTTACTACATAATTACTAATTATGGATAATTTATATTAAATATAGCAAATTTTAATTTGCATAAATGTATTTATTTTTTATTTTTTGAAATATGCTGTTGCAAATTTAAACTTTTGCGTTTTAAACAAAACAAGTTTGACAAATAATAAATTAGGCTAATTTTAATTATTAACCACTATTACATTTAAACTTTATTATTTTTTATCCTTTTTTTTAAACCTCTACGAAAATAAAATTATCTTATTTTATGAATAAAATTTGCAGTTTTATGGCAATTTAATTAGCATATTTTACAATTAAAAATGTAACTGAATATCATTTAAAGTATGTATTCATATTTAAATATATGCAGCTTATTTAAACTGATTCAGTCGTGGAATGGAGGTTGGAGCAAGCGGACAGAACATTACGTAATAATTGTAAATTTCAAGATAAAGACAAAGTAGAACATTAGAAAAGCAAAATAATAGAAGTAGTTCCAGCAATAGATAGAGCATGCTCTCTTGATAATAAAAGCTTCAAAAGAATGAAAAGTAAACGTCACTTCAAATTTCAGCAAAGCACACAAAAAAGTTAGACAAAGCATTTTACAGTATAGTTAGATAACAAACATGCATGCCACAAACGTAGAAGAAACGAGCGAAGAGCTTTTGTCAGAGGACATACATCTACAAAAGACTGAAACAGCTTATTTTTTTAAGCTAATTTAATAATTCTTTTTATACCTTACAGTTTGTTGTCTAACCTAACTAAAACGCTTGTACATTTAGTGGAATGATTAAGTTTTATAAGCTTAAAACTTTTCGAGATGCTATACATATTTAAAATCCACCGTGTTATGAAAATATGTGAAATAAGAAATTTTTCTAGAATTTCAGTTTATATAAATACCATATTGTATTTAAATGCTATATTATTTAAGACAATTTTCAGCTTATCTTTCTAATTGATAAACAAATGTAACTTTCTGGGAAAAAGCAGTACTTCATGTTGATCAAATCGTATTTATTTGAAAATTTGTTTATTTACCTATATAATTTTAAATAAAAACAATTAGGCTTTATTACAATAGACAATTACAACATATTGCATACGTTATGTAAGCCGTTATTATTATGAAAATATTTTTCAGAAAAACCTTCTCTTTATAAATATATTTGTTATGATTGCTTAATTTATAAATTATTTTTTATATTAATCTAAATAGAAATTTAAAGAGGCTAAGTAGCTATAAAATCGTATGTGAAACAACGCAATTATATGTGAAACATCTATTAATATTCGTAATTTTTTTAAAATTTTAAATGTACTTCAGCAAGTATCAAACAAAATAACATATGCAAGTTTGACTTTTTCGTTACGTTTTTCAGTAAATATTTCCCCCCAGAAGTTAAAAAAAACTCTGTATTTTCCTCGATGTTGATTTAATGCTGTCTATTTTCCATACTTGCTTTACTTATTTCATACTTTATATGACCAAATTCCATGCAGCACAGTTCCATTAAAAATTGGCGAGTTTGAAAAAAGATTTATAATTTAGTCTCAAACTCAATCAAACATCAATCTCAATGTCAAATAGTTTTATTTGTTGCAAATTTAATAGTTAATTATGATTTTAGGGAGAATAAATTTAATTTTTTATGTGCAAAAAATATTAAAAAAACAAACAAACATTGTAAGCTTAAATATGCACATGATGAGAACAAAATCTCTTTTCATCTTCAAGCCTTTATTAAAAATAAAAATGTATTTATTGTAGTAGCATAAACCCATCAATGTTGGCTGTTACATCAGTGACAGTTTTTCTTGTGGCGTTGTTAAAGTTAAATATATCGTTTACCTATAAAAAAGAATGGGGCCCCTCCTCTTTCAAAAGATGATTACCTGCATCGGTTTGATGACAACATACACGCGCATTTATATTTGATATAATATAGGTATGTGCTATGCGTAATTGATTAGAGTATTTTTTCGATAATATTAAAACAATCATGTGCTTTCGTAATTCAGATGAAAATGAAATTGAAAAAAAAAATACAATGATATAGTGATGGAAAAGATTTTTTTATCGACTCTTTATTAAAATTACAGCAGTTAATATATTAAAATACGCAGTTCAAGCTATTATTACTAGTATATAGTTTCTAGATTTAATATAATATAATTCTCAGTACATCGAGATTTTTCCGTGCTATCCACTGTACTAAGAGTATCTATACTGCTGAAATATTTTAAAACCGTATTAAAAATGCGCGATGTTAATAAAAGATTCTAAGCTTGCCTTTTCCTTCAATCAAAGATGCACATTACTAATCAAGTAACATGGTTTGGAGTTAAACTCAAGATTATAGTATAAGATTTTAGCCTTGTTATCTCGGTTGGTTTAACTCAAAATCATGGTATAACATTTTAACTTTATTAACTCGATTGGTTTAAATCTAAATCATGGTATAACATTTTAACTTTATTTCCTAGTTTGGTTTAATTTGAAATCGTGGTACAATGTTTTAACTATATTAACTCGGTTATCTTAACTCTAAATTATGGAATATTATTTTAACTATATTAACTAGGATGGTTTAATTTGAAATCATGGTATTATATTTTAACTTTATTAACTCGGTTGGTTTAACTCTAAATCAAAGTATAAGAGTTCAACTTAATTAACTCGTTTATTTTTTCCTGTAATATTAATTAGTATCTGCCCATTTTACTCATTAAAAAACTAAAGCTCAGAGAAAAACATATCCTTAATATAGCAATTAAATAATTATGATGATATACCATACATATTTATGATGTAGTTTTTCTTATAGAAAAAAAGAATATTTCTCTTTACGTGATTTATTAAATTTTGAAGATTCATTTCAAACTTCAATTATGGGATGTTCCTGTGTTCAGAAGTCATAAGTAGAAATTCTCCAACTTCTCCCACAAGTTGAATAATAACCATTGTACAGTCGTTATTATTACAGTGATTATCACATGTAATATTCCAGTAGCCATAGTGTTCTAAAGATGTTCTACTATCAAGATCAAAGCAAAGAAAGGTTTAAAAAATACACGTCACAATACACAATTACAAAGCTTGGTAAATGACTACTTAAAAAATATAATATTTCATCACCGTCAATACATGCCGATAAAAGCTTCTATAATGAATGACGTGCAATAAATTTTCATCAAAACAATATTAATATTACAAATCTTTCTTTTTTTTTATGTAAGAAGCAATCACAATACTATAGTTTTCAAAACTTACAATCAAATAAATTCGAAGTATAAATAAAAGAAAGGGTAGGTTTGTTTTACCGTGCCTGGACTCATGCAAGACGGAAGATTTCGGTTTTTTTAGTGCAATTCGTACTTACGGAGAAGAAAACTTTCGGACGAACCTATTTGGCTGTGTCCTGCTGTTAAGAAATTCTTGATTCCTTAACAGCTTAGCTTCTTTAGATTGAAGAAGATCCAGCTCTCTTTCACGCACCTGCAATAAGATTAAACAGGCTCAAAAACATTTTTTATTCAAGCCTTTTACAATCGGAAATTGTAATGGAATAACAAGTTTATTTTCGTTAACGATTCAATATAATCTAAAGCGCAGTTCCCACTTTGTTCCGCACATGTAAATTAATTTACATTTTCGTCTGAAAATTTTTATAAAGAAATTTTCTGGAATGAAATATTTTTAAAAAAATAATTTGGATAATTATAAAATAATTGTGTAAAAATCGTAATTTCTTATCGTCCCTGTCATGAAATAGTCTGCATACATATTCACACCAACTCTTTTCTTTTTCGTTGGATTTATAGCTTGGAGTGCCTAGACTTCTCAAGAAGTATTTTCCAGGCTAGTCTTCCACCTGCAAGTTTTATCCAGTTTTCCCCGAACTTTCTATCATCATCATAAAGATTCTTTTTACGTTAGTCTGGCACATTTGGCTTTAAATCTCGTCTTCCATCGCTTGTGGTCTAAGGCAGCCTCCCTAAGCAAGCTCCCACAAGACCATCCAAGTGCATTATTTTCACCCATTTGCCATGTTAGTTTCAGTGTTCCTCACTTCCTTCATCCCTCTGGTGTCCAGAGGACACGTGGAAATTCAGAGGCAGGCCGTTCGCAGAATGTGTCCCATTCACATCCATTCTCAATGTTTGATTTCCTCATTAATGGGTCGCGTTTTGGACCCTTGGTATAGTTGCTCATTTAAAATTACGTAAGGCCAAAAGATTTTGAGAATCCTGGGTAAAGCTTTAGTTAGAAAAAAGTCCAAGGAGTTTTCTTAAGATTTTGTAAGTTTCTAAGTTCTACACTCATAAAGAAGGACTGCTTTAACTGTTGAATTGAAGATATGGGCTAAAAACACCATGAGATTTGATCAGTCTGGATGTAACATCTTCGTCAGTTCCACCTGTGGTAGACACTATTAAACCAAGATAACTAAAAATATCAGTACTTTCGATTTCTCTGCTTTGTACGTTGAGTTTAATTACAATGTTGCTGCTTAATTTCATTGCTTTAGTTTTAAGACCTATAATTTCTGCAGTTTCTGTCACAAGTGGTGTTTTTCGTTCCATAATTTGGATGACAACGGAACAATATAGTCTGCATAATAAAGGTTCTCTAAAAGGTTCGTAAAATTTCTGTTGTTTTATCCTTGGTAGTTTTCTTCATAATCCAGTCTATAACAATAATAAAGAACAGACCAAACAGATCACAGTCTTAGACCACTTTCAATCCTAAAACTTTCAGTTGCTGTTTGATTTAAACAAACACATCTGTTATTGGTATACAAGTCTTTGATTATGTTAATAATCTTCAAGGTGTTTCGTTGACTGCTCGAACTTTTTTATGAGAGTTTAAATTTAACATGAATTCATTTTTTTACCTATTGTACAATAAGGTACGAAGTCAAGACTTACTGTTTTATTTATTAATTGTTTTTTTGCTTGCGTGGTTATTTTACGCAAGATCTTTATGCACTAATTACTTATGTATGCTCTAGTATACGTTATGTGTAAACAGAATGCTTACATTTCAGATTTCTATTAACTATATTTGTTTTCTGTGCGTAACTTGAGAAATATTAGTAAATACAGACCTTTTCTTGCTTTTTCTTCAATGCCTGTAATTCCTTTTCTAGCTTAACTGTGATTTTTGCTACCATTTTGTGCTGCCTAATAACATCCAGTGACTCAGCAACGATGTTAGCCTCTTCCGATTCTGAAAGTAAATAAAAAATTAAAATGACAAACTTTCAGTCATTTACTTTTTAGTATGTTTTTCGCTAAGTTTCTTTAAAAATTACATGAATCTAATTTTAACATAATTTATTTATAATGCGTTCCATATGAATAAATCCACCTTGATTTTGTGCTAAAAATTGATTCAAAGTAAACAAATAACAAACTTTCTAAAATCTTTTATTCTAATTTATTTTCGTGAAATATTTAGGAATTATAAAATTTAAAGGTTTCCATTTCTGATAGAAAAGCAGCTGCGTACTTGCTTCCGATATTATTATTTTTGTATAGATTATTTGTGACTGAAAAGGGGAATCAAATAATATTTCTTATAAAAAAGAGTTTTTGAAATGATGTAACAAATAGGAAATAAAAGTAGCCATTTAGAAATTTAAATTTCTTAATTATTTCAATCTTTTTAATAGGGAAGTCCTCTTTTGTTAGGATCTTTTACCTCTAGCCAAATTTTCTTGATAATTCAATATACGAAATGGCTACAGGAGATAAAGAAAATATATTTCAAATTAAAAAATATAAATATATAAACCAGGGAATGAACAAAATTTATTCGCAACAAATATTAGTCAATACTTTTCGATAACATTGTTGTTTAGAACTTCTAATAGATGGCGCCACGACTCATAATAAAAATATTTTCAAACATTTTTATTTCAGTATCTAAGACAGTGAAAAAGAAATCACAAGAATCTTTTTTTCATCTCCGTCACTCACTGTGATAGATAATCATTAAGAGAGCTAAAATTTGTGTACAAAGTAAAGGAAGCTTTTGTAGAAAGTGCACAGCACTAAACATGCCCAGACATCTGATGTTTAGTTTTAACTTTGTTAGCTTTAATTATTTAAATCACGAATTAAACATTGTACAAATTAATAAGCATACACAATGCATTTTTCCTTTAATTTTTTAGCTTTAAATGTTCTGATATTCCCTTATCTGAAGGAGGGGAAGGTGGATGCGTTAATCTTATATTAAAATTTCTAGTTTTTACCCTAACATTTAATAAAATACATGAAGTTGCAATAATAGCTATCCAATGTAATTTTGTAGGATAAAATTGAATTTAGTTAATATATAATCTAAAATATTTCATATATTTGAGATTTTGGATTTAAAATAAAAATATACATAAACAATTTTGTAAGTTTTATTAAATTAATTTCCTATCTCCATTTCAATGTAATAATGTAATCGAACTTTAATTACAAACTTTAAGTTCGCAATCTTACCTAGAACTGAGGGTTTTTCCTGAGTTTCTTCTGTTAACGATGTAACAGTTTGGTTAGATCTCCCTAAAAAAATCATTCTATTAATAAAACTGACTTTGTATCAAACAATCAATTGATACTTTATTAGAAAAAAAATGTTTGTAGCTTTTTAAAGGTAAAAAAGGTAAAAAAAATTAAATAAGTAAACAATTTAAAATGCTTACTTGTATACACATATTATTCATATTTTTTTCTTATAATTTTTTAATTCTAATAATATTTCTAATTGTTTAACTAACATCATCTTAGTTGCCGTTGTTCTAGAATCTAGGAAAATATATCGTATTAGATGGATTTTCCAGGATTTTAACTTTTTTCTGAAGATAAAATCTTTGATTTTAGCTTACAAGAGAGTTCGAGTTTTCCGTTGATTGTCTTTCTCAAGAAGCAGTTCGTTTGCAAATAAAAAAAACATTATTGTTAATAGAAATCTTGTTCATTTAGTGGAATAATAGAATGGTATTAAAGATAAATTTTCTGGGATTAAATTAAAAAAGTTGAATTGAATTGGCATTAAAAATAAAATAAAATAATAATTAAAAACACAAAATTTTCGAGTTTTTTTTTATACAAACAAAACAGAAAATAATTTTGAAAAAAAGAATTTTTTTATACACTCAAAATACTTAAGAGGAATTTATTTAAAACATTTATAACTGACAAGAAAGGTAATTTAAAAGCAACCAAAGGTTTAAAGGCACTTAGTATTACTACAATATAACGAGGAAATAAATTTTTATGAGAGAGAAAAAAATTTTCAAAATGAAATATACCTTAAAGTCTTAAAACCAACAAGTGAGATAATAAAATTCAGCTTTGTTCAGAATTTTTTTGAGAGGTTATTATTCTCTCAATCCTAAATGTCTGTAAGTCCTTACTTCCAAAATATTCTATATTCATGCTGATCTCTTACCGACAAACAAGCTGACTTTGCGCCATTTTTTGATGTTATTTTTTTCTTCCCTTTTAAATTGCTTACGTACAATTGTGAATATTTTACAAAATTTATAACCGCACAGCACTTTTTTAAAGTTATAATTAAAACTCCATTCTAAATGGAATAGAAAAAAAAGAGAAATATGTAACATAAAGTCGCCACTTTTGAGTGAAGTGACTTTGACTTAATTTATTAGTACCTAAAAAATCGACTAAAATCTTTTTCGGCGCATTTTATCCCTTCTTGTTATCGAGACCAACTAACAGGATTTTTAAAATAAATAAAAAAGTTTTATTTTTCAGTGTTGCTTTATGTGGGGGAATAGAAAAAATTAAAACAAAAATTTAAATTTATTATTATTATTATAAATAAAAATATTATTGTTTGCTATTATTATTAGTTTTTAAAGTGTTTATTAATTTTTTAAGTGATTATTAATTTTTTTCCTCCGCTGAAATTAATATTAATTTATTAACATTTTTACTGAAAAATAGTTATTATTGAAGTATATATTTAATTATTTACATTGAAACACGGAAACCGATATTTGAAAAATTATTAGAAATTTTATTTGGAGGGGAGATAACTTTTATTTGACCGATGTCCAGCATGTTGTTCTTCTTCCCTTAGCATGCTCTGGTGCCTCTTAACTTTCATCGTTTTCTATAAGTATTATCCATGGATAGAGTTTGCTACAATACTAAACAATAACTTTGCACACATTATTAGTTTTTGATGATTTGTCATTGGTTCTGGTTGCTCTATTTATCTTAATCTTTTCTACCAGTATTGTAACGTTAGAACAAATACTGGTTACTTCAGTTTCACTACACATTAAATCAGTAGAATAGAGATACTACTACAAAGTCTCAAATGTATTAAAAAGATATTGAAAACTTACTACTTGTGTCTTGTCTTGTATGTACAGGGCCAGGTGACGCTGTTCCAGCTGTTGTTTGTTTCGGTACTGTGCCGTTCATTTGGGCATGGCGTTGTGCCAACGTCGATGGTTGAGAGGAAGGTTCGTCAATTGACGTACTAGCCTTACTTTTATCATCAATTTTCCCCAATGATGGATTTGGTTTAGCTGGCTGTGCACTTTTTGGTTTTTCTTGAGAATCTGTTGAATCTTCAGTTTCCTAAAAAGTATTCAAATTTTGAATTACAGAGTAGGACATTTTCTTTGCATTCATTACTACTTTAATATCTGAAGAAACAAACTAATCATTTAAGCTTAGTAAGTCATACGAAAAACTTACATTACCGCTCATTAATTTCAATGTACCAGTTTTTTTTTCAGTTTTCAAAGATGTACACAGAGTAATAGACTTTTCCCGGGAATATAATCTTTTAATCAAGCCAAGAAACAGATTTCATAGAAAACGAAATTCGGATTTAAATCTCCTTTTACTCACATTAACACTCATTAGAAGAGATCGTGGCTACATGTACTCGTCGGCGTTTATTGATTTGTTTTCCACAATTTCAATGCAACTTTATTTCAATGGTATGAAAGTACCTACCACATGGACGCAAAACCCTGGCAAAATTACCGTACTGTATGGTGATGAACTGTATAATGATCATTTCTGGTGAAAGAAAAATCGTAATTCCGGTTAATAAAACAAAAATATATGGTATTTTAACTATTCATTTTATGGATTTTTCCATTCATATGGCTTACCGTAAATTCCGGTTTTTAAAATTATAGTTATAATTCAACATGCAAAAGTTATAGTAAAACATGCAAAACTAAAAAGTAAATTTAGCCGACTAAATGGTTTTTATGCCAGCTTTAAGGTATCATGATAAAATGACCAATTTTTACCACATTTAACAAGTTTTAATCACTTATCATAAATTATATTTTATTGTTAATTCTATCAAAATCTAACAAAAATGCTTCGATAAAAATTATCGAGATTTTTGATGAACCATAGAGCCAGTACCCATAGAGCCAGAAACGTAGTAAATTTTATCACATTCTGGTAGGTTCACCAAAACTTTTTTTCGCAGTGTACCTTATAATTCTGATTTATGCTATCTATATCTCTAATGCATTTGTTCTATTGACTAACTTAATATCATGAGTACTTTGTGTCACATAATGTATAAATTGAAACTTTACTCCAAAACTTTTGCTTTGAGACATCGCGTTAGTAAAATATCTGTACCCCCTAATATTTAAAGCAAAAATGGACGGAAGCAGATTGTTAAGCAACAGATTTTCATAGACCATCTGATAGCAATTTTTTGGGAAAGCTCTCTTTTACTATAAATCTAAGGCGAGTGCTTTATAGCTTTATAGACAATAATTCTATATGATGAAGCATATGATGAATTCTATATGATGATATACTGGATTACTTAGAAAGAAGCATAGTACGGCCTGTTTATCGTACAGTTTAAATAAACGATTACAGAAACGAGATCTTTAGGTCACTTAGAAAAATGAAGCTATTAAATAGGAAAATACTTCAGGAATATAGAACAATGCATACTCGAATGGAGATAATGGCACATTCCAAAAGTTTGCAATCATCAATTGTTTATTTTAAAAGGAAAGAGGAGTACTTACTTCGTCCAGATCATCAGTCAGAGCCATCAACTGCTGTGCGTGCTTCTCCTGTATTGACTGGTATGCAATGGGGTTCGCCAAAGCATCGGCCAAGTCTGTTAAGAAGTTCAAGAATAGCAATTAGTGGTTATTGTAGAAGTAAAACCGTTTAAACAAACGCATTTTTCTACAAACTAGAGTTAATTAGTGAATATGTGGAAAAGTGAATTGCGCAAACAGTACATTTTATGCTGAAATTCTTGGTTTTGCGATGAGTAAAACTTAGAAAAAGAGCAAAAAAGAAAAAAAAAGCTTTAACTGGTTATTGAACTTAATTCAAATGAAAGTGTAACATGGAATTTGAATATTAGAAGGGCAAAATAGTTTTTAAACTTCATAGTTATTTGAGCCGTCGTGGCTCAGGGGATAAAAATCTCGTCTCCCAGTAAAGGGCTCGGGTTCGAATCCCAGTGATAGCTGGTTGATACAAATTCCGCATCAGGTCTCGTACTAACCACAGTGCTGATATAGAATAGCCTCAGCCGTAAAAGGATCATGAGTTAGAGTCCTCTTGCCATCAGTCTAACCATGGCAGGTTTTTGGAGTTTTCATCTCCATGTAACGCAAATGCTGATTAGTTGCATGAAAAAAGTCCTCCACGAAGGCAGCATTTTCCCTAATACTTGATTCAGGAGTTCCCTTGTCTTCGGGATTGGATATAAAACTACAAGGCTATGCAGTTGAACAGTGATAGTCGTAAACTCAAAATTGACTCTGCTGTTCAAAGACCGTTATAAAATATAATAAAACTCCATTGTTCCTTTTGAAAAATATTCGAAAATCAGTTTTTCTGATTGAATTTTCTATTTATTTGAATTCATTATTTTCAAGATTTTAAATTGCAATTTTCGTGGTACTGCCGATATGGTAACACTCTGTGCATTAATCTTGTTAATATGCTAGCAGTGAAAGCGCAATAAAAATTAATTCATTGAGCTTATTTATAAATTCGAAATAAAGGAAGTTTTATGAAAAGGGAACACAGTCTAGTGTAATTGAATCTTATTGATGAAATGATTAGAAAAAATTTCATCACTCAAATTCAGTCTTGAGAATATGTTACGCTTGGCTACAAGCTAAGGGTCTTAATTTTTCATCGAGTCATTCTACTTTAAGTTTATATATTTTAAAGATGCTTTTCTTAAGCACATCAAAAAGACAAATTAACATGCTTTTCTAATAACCTGTGAAGTGTTTCGAATTTTTTAACAAACAATTGACTCTTAATCATAAGTACTATCATTTTCAACTATTAGTCATTGTAATTAAATGATAGGTTAATTTACTTACCAGATAAGCCATCAGGGACATAATCCTTTACCGTGATGTGTACAAACAAGGTTTTCATCGATAAGGGCTGACCAGATTCGTTTCGAAGACATATGTGGCGATAACCTGAAAACAGTTGCATCCAAGTATTACAAAAAATTCAATGGTGCATTATAAAGTACAAAGAAGTATTATAAAGTACAAAGGAATATTAAAAGAGACCTTACCTGGTCTTAGACCAACAACTGGAAGCACTCTATGACCCAACAGTTTTCCACTATCATCATTTACGGATATTCGCAGACAGGCTAAATCTGGAAGTACCACCTAAGAAATAATAAGCGAAGAGAGTTAGTCTAAAGTGATGCTTTAATTCTCTTTCAATTTTTTTTAACAGCATAACAACTTTTTTATTTCAAAATAGTAAATAAAAAACATGAAAATTTACCTTTTTAAAAACAAATGGCTCTTCATCATAAACTGGATTGATACCATTGTTAGGAACAGTTTTCGTTTTAAATTTCCGTCGCACAGTGTCTGCAGGAAGACCATACATGTCTACTTCTACATACGTTCCTACACGCTTATCTGATAAAAACTGTCCTGATAATATCTGGAAAAAAAACAAGCATAAATTTATTCTATAAAATAACATTAAAGTGAAATAACCCTTTTTTATATTTAAAAAAAAAAAACTGTCCGTAGAAAAGAGGATTCCCAGAGCCTCGACAGGTTGCACTTCTGCCTGTTGTTCCATGGAAGGACCTATCCCTTGAAGATACAATGGAGGCATTCTCCTTCATGCTCCATCTAGAGAACAACCCCTATCCCTTTACACGACGATGACAACAACCCTATTTTATAGATAAGGCCTGTTTAGACGATCCAATTTCTTGGACAGAGATTGATTGATATTGATGGAAGCTTGTTTTGCTTTGAGCTTGGATCGTGTAAACAATCATCCAAGAACTTGGTCCAACTTCTTGGACGATAGTAAAGCATGTTCTACTTTCCATCCAATTTTTTTTCTCCCTTAACCAATCAGCGTCTTAGGTTTTGTGACGTCAACAAGCAGGCAGCAAATTATGTCATTCTGTTGTCTGTTTTCATATATTTTAGTCCACATAAATTGATCTGTTGTGGTTTATTTGTGTTATTATGATTTTATTTGAATTTATTTAGTAATTTTAAACTTATGTAAGTGTTGTTTTATAATGTTGAATATGAACAATGCGCATGCGCAACTTTTTCTTTCAGCGAATCAGAGACATTCAAGAACTTGGATAATGTCGACGAATCATTCTTGGACATTTCTTGGACAGAGAAATCCGTCCAATTTCTCGGATTCAAGAAATTGAACCGTGTAAACAGGCCTATAGTCTTGCTTCTTCTATTTTTCTGGCATTCAGCTGATTAGAATCTATCAGATTTATTAGATATTACTTATAGCAAACATTTTAAATTTATTATTAATCTATTTAAATTAATTTTACTATGAATTTATTATTAATCTTTTTTTTATTTGGTTTGCGTGATAAAGCGGAAAGATATTACAGTAGTAGCAGACAATTCGGCATATCTAATTATAAGGTATGCATTTAGTGAAATAAGCTGGAAAAGGTGGTTACTCCCGTGTGTGAGTTTGAAAGGAATAACAAAATAGTAGCAAGCAAGAGATGTTTCTTACAAAGCTGTAAAGTTCTTAAAAAGCGATTTTTCCCTTCAGAATAACAGACAGCATGGGTCTCTAAAACCAATTAAGTAAAACCTAATGCAATTCTATTCATAAGTAAAGCGTCAACTCAACAGTTATTAAAACATGAGCAAATTGAAAAAATGCATGAAAAAGGAGTCGAAATACCAAAATTGCACAAAAGTCTTAATGATTGCACAAGAGATTTAAAGATGAGTTTATAAAGTTTAAACAGGATGAGCAGTATGCAAGTTCAAAATGTGCTTTACATAAGAGATCTAAAATTACGGGTGAATGTGTTCATTTGTCCCGTTATTGCAGCTGCAAAAATGACAGAATGATTGTTTCATTGAAGCAAAATTAAGAAATCTTAAAAACACACATACTCGTTACTTTACACATACTCGTTACTAATACTACAATAATAAGAGCTCTTTTATATATTTCTTTATCTAATTTATTGGACAGTTTATAATGATATTACAGAAATAAACGTTACGTTATGTAACTGCCGTTGCTGATAGTAATGGAATGTAAATATATTTAGCACACCGAAAATAATTTTAGACCGCTGCTTATAACAATTGAGTTCACTTAGTTATTAATTAGTCAAACATTATTACATTAATTAGTCAAATAAATATTAGGGTAATTAATGTTGTTTATATATTTTCTGTAGTTGGATATATAGTTGCACGTATTGCAAGCGCAGATAGATAAAAAAGCAAACAAGTATTGAAGAGCTAAATAGAAGAAAGTGTTAAGTGACATTTTGGGATTATCATGCTTAATAAAGGAAGCGACAGGATGACTCAGCTAGAAATCCTCCTTCTCAAAAGACTTTTGTAAAATAATATTGAATGCAAATGACCGCGACAAGTTTATAAATCTAAAATTTTGAAGATTTAAAAACCTACTTTGGTCGAGCTGGATACATTCGAATTGTCAATTTTCGAGTAAATAATAACAAAAAGATTAAATATGTCAAGATTAAATAAAATGTCCATTTTAATCTCGCTTTCTTGTTTTCAAAATATCTCGCGTATCTGGTTTTCAAAAGTCATTATTTTCAGAATTTATAAATTTTCTAAATTTGCAAGTTGTTAAATGCATTAATTTATGAAACATTGGATGCTGAAAGCACAAATGATTCTTCAGAGTGAATAATTCCCTTTCATGCTCACAAAATCCTTCCCTTTTAGGGTTGAGGTTTCTCGACACAGGCAGTTTATTATTTTAATTTAATCGCCTAGTTCGGAATTATGTTTACTTAGAAAATCCATTAATCCATATTAGCGCAAATATTTCAATCTAAATGAACGACTCACGAATCAATTCATACATTTGATAGAATTTCAATCAAGAAATTCATCTATAGAATATGAGAATTATAAACCACTATCTTTATCCACTAAGGAAAACTAGACTAGTTAAAAGCAGTACATATTTTAAAATTTAACACAGAAACCAAATCTACTGTTTAACCATTTGATGCAGACGGAACACTGTTCTTATATATATATATATATAT